ATTTATAGAAGGAGAGTAGAGGACAGGGCGGAAGGCTCATGCTAGTGGGACCCACTCTCTGGCATTACGGCTCTGTCCCCTGTCAGGAGCCCTGACCCTGACACTGTAGCCTTCTGGGTATGATGACGGAGAGTATTGTGCAGGTGCCATTAAGTGCCTCCAGTGTTTTTCAGATAAAGCACTGGTCCCGGGTGATGTCAGGTGGTTTGACATCATCAGCGTGCAGCTGAGGTGGAGGTGCCGAGGTCACCTACACGGTAGACTAGGGATCCAGCCGAGCTCAGGAGTTATGCTCAAGACACGGATGAGCTCTGATGAGGGACGAGGTGGGTTCACCTCGGACATGCGGGGTGGCCGAGGTGAGCATCCTCAATAAGCCCCCCAATCCTCGGGAGCTCCGGGCCAGGAGGGTACCGAGGCTTCCTTGTGCCGAAGTCGTAAAGAGTCGGAGTCCCGAAACTGCTCCGGAAGATGCAGGGACATGACACGTGGGCGAGTCAGTTGACAGAACGTGGTCACTGGTAACCGTCGCGTCGTGAAATAGTGGGACGTTTCGTGCAGAGGGTGTCAGTCGAAAGGACGGGGCATTAATGAGGAGAGAGGGAGGCACGGCGTTTTGAATTCGAACGTGGCCATCTTTTCGCATTCTTGCCGCCTCTTCGGATTCCCCCCAAACCCTTATAAATAGGGGATCCTATTCACCGTATGGCCATCACTTTTTTTCTTTGCCTGCGACTTGCAAAATTTACGAGTGTTGCCGAGATCAATCCTGCCAGCCGAGATCCCAGTCGAAGTCATCATCTTCGTTCGATACCGTAGTCAACAGTAAGTATCTTTCTTTCCATCTCGTCTTACACACATGGCCAAAATAGCTAAGACCCATAAAGAAACCGTGACACCGAGCTACCAGACCGAGGTGAGGCCGGATCCTGAAGAAGTGACGACTTCCAGCTCTGAGGGGTCGACGCCGAGTTCTGAGGAAGGATCAGCCGAGGTGAGAGCCGGCGAGGCAGGCTCGGAATTGGAGTCATCCGAGATGAGCGAGGGTGGTTCCGAGGTCGTCTACGATACCGAGCTCGGGACCGAGATACCCCATGACGAGGGCGTACCGGAGCCAGTCGCTCCGAGGGACGCGGCTAACATCGATTTCGGCAAGATGCCGAAGTTTAGAAGTCGCATAGGAAGAGATAGGGCCGAAAAGGTATTAAGCAAGTACCCTTTCCGGCCGGGGTATATCATCACACCGTCCGGGCCAGATGACTCAGCCGAGAAGCTCCCTATGGGTATGGTGGCCATCTACGTCCAACAGTTGGAGGTCGGGCTGAGGATGCCGACGTCGAGGTTCTTGAGAGACGTACTTCGTCACTTCCGCGTGAGGATTACTCAGCTCACTCCGAACGCCGTCCGCATCATCGTAAGCTTCGAGATGTTGTGTCGACATCAGGAGGTGACTCCCTCTGTGGATTTCTTCCGCCGATGCTACACTCTCAAGGCGCATGGGACGGACAAGGGATAGTTTTATATCTGCAACCGGAACAATGCCATCCCGAAGTTCGTGATTGGTGCTCCCAACTCGATCAAGAATTCGAAGCGCGACTTCTTCTTTGAATCCGGAGTGGACTTTCCCAGGGGTTTTTGGTGGAGGCCAATTAAAGCGAATGCCGACCCCTCCGCAGGGGATGCCGAGAAGGAGACCTTCCAGAAGCTGATGGGGTCAGGACTTCGGATATACAGTTTGGACTACCCCAAAGCCGTGTTGGTTGACGGGGGGATTAGCCGAGCTTTGCTCAGTCCTGACAAGGCTCCCTTCACTTCCACTAAACTTAAGAAACCTTGTAATTTTTCTTTCATGGCTTTTCTTTCATTTCGGCTGTGGCAAATAATAATGTTTGTTTCTTGTGCAGTGGTCAAATTGTCCGATATCGTCACATCGGGCTCGGCCGAGGTGGCCAAAAGGTCGAAGAAGAAGAGCTCCGATGAGACGTCGGCCCCTCCGCCGAAGAGGAAGTCACAAGAGCAGGCCGCCAAGACTTCGGCGGCCAGGAGCACTCCCGCCACGGCAGCTCAAAGCAGCTCGCCCGCCACGGCTACTGGGTCTACCTCTCCTGTGTCAGAGGGAGTGCCTCTTGAAATTGTCAGGGCACTCCCGCCTCCTTATGGCCGAGGTAAGCAGCTGAAACCCCCAATCAATCCGGTCTCGGGGACCTCACTATGGAACCGTTTCCATAGCCCCCCGATGTTTTCTGGGAAGGAGAAAACGCACCCCGGCGAGCACTGGTGTCCGAACTGGACACTTACGGTCAACGACAGGTGCAGCCATCCTCGGGTTGCACAAGAGCTGGTGATGCAGTCGACCTTGCCAAGGGACTTGGAGTATATGAAGAAACTGACTCCGGCCGAAGTGGTTCAAAGTTTCATGGTGACCACAGCTTCCAACTCAGCCTTTGTGGCCGAGATGACACACCGATACTGTGCTCTGGTCGAGGAGCAGGACTCCGGCAAGTTACAAAATCAGATCTCCAAGTTGGAGAAAAAACTGGCCGTGTCCGAGTCTGAGAAGGCCGAGCTTCAAAGACAGCTTAAAGAGGCCGAGACGAAGGATGAGGAGGCCGTGGCTACAATCAACAGCCTCAGATCGGCCCTCGAGGAATAGCAGAAGAGGGGGGACGAGGTGAAGAAGTCCCACGAACAAGACCTCAAGAGTGCTGGGGCCTCGGCCGTGGATGCATTTCGGAGGTTCGAAGACTTCACCCTGGATCTCGACCAACTACTCGCGCCGAGCTTCATGTTCGGCTTCACGTCAGGCGTGGACGCGGCCGCAGTTCACCTCTCCTCCGAAGCCTTGGAGTCGCTGAAAGACAATGCCAACTACAATGAGGACTCCAAGGACTTGTGCGACCGGATGGCCGAGGGCGTCCAAACTGGAAAGAACTTGGCCGAGATCCGGGAAGAATTCAACAAATGGCTATCAGAAATCGACGAGGTGTTTGATGAGGATGGAGGAGAGAGGCTGAGGGAGACATCGGCGAGAAGGTCGTCGAAGAGCCTGGAGGGGGAGAAGGGGTTCACCCCGACGGAGAGGAGACCGGAGAGAAGGCTGCCCAGGAGGGAGCCGAGATAGGGGTCGGCTCGTAGATATTTTAGTAGGGTTCCGAGGTGGGAGATGCTTAGTAGCACTTCCTATCTCGGTCTTGTATTCTCTTCTGTATTGTCCTTTCATTAAATGAAACGTCTATTTTTCTCATCTCGGCACTTTAATTTCTTGCTTTGACTTCGTCCCTTGTTTGTTCCCCTTATTTTTGAATAGCGTAATATCGATGTTGAAAAATAACATAACATTCGAAATTATTACTTGATTAAAATTCAAGCATAATACATTTTGAGGTTCTCGGCATGTCAAGACCTCGACACTAGTGAGCCATCTCGGTAGTTCAGTTTACAATATCCCTTAAGGTCAGATTCCACAACTCGGTAAGGGCCTTCCCATTTCGGGCACAATTTCCCTTGCGGTTCAACTCGGCTGATCGAGTTTTTTCTGAGAACCAAGTCTCCAGGCTGGAATCTACGGTGTCTGACGCAGGCATTGTAATAGTGTGCCAGTGTGTTCTTGTAGGAAGCTATCCGGGCTGAGGCGAGATCCCTTCGTTCCTCGACGAGGTCGAGATCCAGCTGCCTCTCTTCGTCGTTCACCTCGGCGGCATAGGTTGCCAGGCGAAGGCTGGGGGTAAGGATCTCGGCCGGGATGACAGCTTCGGCGCCGTAGGTCAAGGAGAAGGGGGTCTCTTGCTTTACTGACCTCGGCGTGGTTCGATACGATCATAGGACACTGGGAGTTCCTCCACCCAAGATGACCCAACTCGGTGTAACCGGGTCTTGAGACCATGCAGGAGAGTTCGGTTGAAGTTTTCTGCTTGACCGTTGGCCTGGGGGTGGCCCACCGAAGTGAAATGTTGTTTGACGCCAAGGTTTGTGCACCAAATTTTAAAGGGGTTTTCGGCAAATTACCTTCCATTATCCGAGATGATGACCTGAGGTATACCGAAGCGGCAGACGATGCATTTCCAAAAGAATTTTTGAATTGCCAACCCGGTGATGGTCCTCAGAGGGTCGGCCTCAACCCACTTGGTGAAGTAATACACAGCGGTTACCAGAAAGGTATAACCCCCGACGGCCTTGGGGAAAGGACCTATGATGTCTGTCCCCCATTGCTCAAACGGCCAGGGTGAGGTGACGGGTACCATGAAGTTTGAGGGCTGGTGGTGCTCGGGGGCGTGGACTTGGCAGGAATGGCAGTCGAGAACGAGGTCTTGGGCGTTTTGTCGAACGGAGAGCCAGAAATATCCAAGAATCAAAGCTTTCTTGGCTAACATCCTGTGGCCGACGTGGGCTCCACATATGCCCTCGTTAATCTCGTGAAGGATCTGGCGTCCTTTCTCGGGTGTAACGCACCTCAGCCACGGACCAAGGTAGGAGCGCTTGTACAGCTCTCCATCGCGGAGAGCATACCGAGCAGCAGCCTTGCGTTGTATCTTCCTCGCCTCGACTCGATCTTCGGGAAGGGTTCCCTGACCCAAGAAGAGGATGAACGGGGTCATCCAAGTATTTTCAGAGTGCACAGGGTAGGCCACATCTTCCATGTATCCCGGTTCATTCAGAACTTCCACTAAGACTGTCTTGTTGAGGTCAGAGAATGATGTGGAAGCCAACCGGGATAAGGCGTCGGCCCGCTTATTCTGAGACTGGGGTATTCTTTGGATTTCGAAAGACTCGAAGTACGCGGTGAGTTGGTGAACTTTGGAGAGGTACCGTTGCATGGTCTCATCATTGGCCTCGTATTCACCAAGAACTTGGCGTATAACGAGTTGGGAGTCACTGCGAACGTGGATTTGCTGGGCGCCGAGCCTGCGGGCCAGCTGGAGTCCAGCAATTAAAGTCTCGTACTCGACTTCATTATTGGTGGTTGGGAAGCCAAAGCGGAGGGCGTACGAGCATACTTTTCCCTAGGGGCCCTCCAGGAGCAATTCAGCTCCGCTGCCCTCTCCATTAGAGGATCCATCTACATACAATGTCCACAGGAATGGGGTGGACACCTCGGCCAAGGCGAAGGTGGATTCCGAACCTTCCGTGAAGGTGAGTTCGGCAAGGAAGTCGGCTAAGTCTTGTACTTTTATGGCGGTGCGGGGCTCATATGACAAGTCATACTCTCCCAATTCGACAGCCCACTTGGTGAGGCGACCGGAAGTCTCGGGTCGCACCAATATCTGCCGAATGGGCTGGTCGGTCTTGACGGAGATGGGATGAGCAAGGAAGTAGGCCTTCAATCGCCGAGTTGCGTGGACTAGTCCCAGCACCAGTTTTTCCACCTGAGTGTATCGAGTCTCCGGCCCGCGGAGAGCTCGGCTGACGTAGTAGACTGGTACTTGAGTGCCCTCATCCCGGATAAGAACAGCGCTGACAGCCTCGTCGGCTGTGGAGAGGTAAAGGTAGAGTTTCTTCTCGGGCCGAGGTGAAGCGAGAGTTGGTAGGGATGGAGGTACTGCTTTAGCTTGTTGAAGGTAGCCTGGCACTCCTCAGTCCAGGTAAACTGATCAGCCTTTTTTAGCACCTTAAAGAAGGGCAGAGTTTTCTCAGCAGACTGGGACAAGAAGCGATTCAGCGCGGCCAGGCGTCCATTCAGCCTTTGGACTTCTCGGATGTTCCGAGGTGGGGACATGTCCTGAATGGCCTTGACCTTGTCGGGGTTGGCCTCGATTCCCCGGTGGGAAACCAGATACCCCAAGAATTTTTTCGAGATGACGCCGAAGACGCACTTCTTGGGATTGAGCTTCATCCTTGAGTCCCGTAGGACACCAAAGACCTCCCTTACGTCCGACAGAAAGGCTGAAGTGGTGAGGCTTTTGACGAGAATGTCGTACACATAGGCCTCCGCATTGCGGCCGATCTGATTTTTGAAGAGTCGGTTGATCAGCGTTTGGTAGGTCGCTCCGGCGTTCTTTATGCCGAACGGCATGGTAGTATAACAATAAACACCTTGGTTGGTGTAGAACGCCGTCTTCTCTTGGTTCTCTTCACTCATTCCTATTTGATGATATCCTTTGAAGGCATCTAGGAAGCAGAGGATCTCATGTCCCATTGCCGAGTCGACGAGGGCGTCTATCCTCGGTAGAGGGTAGCAGTCTTTGGAGCATACCTTGTTGAGGTCGGTGAAATCCACGCACATTCTCCATCCACCGGTGTCCTTTTTGACCATGACTGGATTGGACAGACAGGTGGGGTATTGGACTTCGTGAATCATCTTGGCCGACAAGAGCTTGTCGACCTCATCCGATATGGCCTTGCTACGTTCGGGGCCGAAATGCTTTCGTTTCTGCCGCACAGGTCGAGCCTGTGGGTTAACGTTGAGTTGGTGAATCATGAGATCGGGTGGCACTCCGACCACTTCATCTGCGGACCACGCGAAAACGTCTCGGTGGTCCTTGATCAGGGAGATCATTTCTTCTTTCAGGGGTGAGGGGAGTCTGGTCCCTATTTGGACTATTTGGTCAGGTTTCGCTTTATCCAAAACCACTTGTTCCACCTCATCCCCGGGCTCAAACCTGTTGGGTTCTCCTGCTTTCTGAGGGTCGATGCAGTCTATGGAGAGGACCGCTGGTCTCTTTTCTTCTGACCTTGGCGAGGGTCGGGGTATGACTGCTGCTTGAATGGTGGCCAGGTAGCATTCCCCGGCGGCGCCCACGTCGCTGCTCACCTCGGCCATCCCCGCAGCTGTTGGGAATTTAAAACTCAGGTGGTAGGTGGAATATACGGCTCTCAAGGCGTTGAGCGTGGGCCGGCCTATCAGCATGTTGTAGGGAGAGTCTGCTTTGACCACCGTAAAACTGATAGGCACAGTTCGGCAGCGTGGATGACGCCCGATAGTTACCATCAGGGTCACCATGCCCTCCAAGTGGACGACGTATCCCCCGAAACCGACAAGAGGGGTTCTGACAGGAGTGAGTTGCTCTCTGGTCAGTTTTAAACTCTCGAAAGTGCGGTAGTACAAGATGTCTACCGAGCTTCCGGGATCGACATAAACCTTTTTGACTATATAGTTATTAGTGAGGACCTCAATCACGAGGATATCGTGATTGCTGGAGGCGGCGGGGACAGGGTCGCTGGGACCGTAGGTGATCACGTCGGATAACCGGGAGCTCGGCTCGGCCGCTTCCATGCCGGCCTGGTGGTATGTCCGTTTCCGGGAGTTCTGGCTGTCTCCCCCCGTTGGGCCACCCGCGATCGTGTTGATCACCCTGGCGATGTTTGGGTCGTAGCCTGGCGATCCGTCGCGTGGAGGCCTCTTTTCTTCCTTACAGTCCTCGGGACCTCGGCATTGAAGTTTTGTGTCCCGCCTGTCTTCTCGGCGGGGACCTCGGCTCTCCCGGTGGGAGGCGCTTCGGTTGAAAGTTCCATCCTTGCGGACAAACTGCTTCAAGTATCCTTGGCGGATGAGGTTCTCAATTTCTCGTTTCAAATCATTGCAATCTTCGGTCTCGTACCCAACATCTCGGTGGTAGGCACAATAGAGGTTGGAATTCCTCCTATCCCTCCTCCCCGGGATCTCAGGAGGGGTTCGACTGATGTGATTCTGCCTCATCACAGTCAAAACATGGGATCGGCTGGAATTGAGTGGTGTGAGCTCGGCGTCCGAGGTGGACGACCTTCCCTTCACGATCCGATCGAAAACGCTTCGGCGGTCTCAAAACTGGCTGGATGAGCTGCCGGGGCCTTGTTCAGCTCGGCCGGTGTCTTTCCTCCTCCTGGGATCTTGCCCCGTACGAGATGCTTGGGCTTCTCGCTTCATGCGATTTACATCCTCATTTCGGATTCTCTGGTCCACTCTTTCCCAGAGTTTCCGAAGTGTACGGGGGTAGTCCCGATGGATTTCGGTGTTGAAAATCCCTGCCACTAACCCGTTGGTGAAGACAGCGATGGTTACCTGCTCGTTCTGATCAGGTATCTGCACATTCTCCTCGTTGAACCTTTGAACATACGAGCGAAGTGACTCGCCCTGACCCTGCTGCAGGTTCAAGAGGTAAGCTGAAATCTTTGTTATTGGTCGGGACGATACAAAACGGTGGATGAACCGGTCTATCAGCTCATCCATGGAGGAAATACTCCTAGGTTCTAAACTCCAGAACCACTTCCGGACAGTTCCATGTAAGAAGATGGGGAAAGCCCGACAGAGCACAGCGTCGGGGACGCAGTAGAGTCGGAATGCGGAGATGAAGGCGCGGAGGTGATCCTCGGGGTCATCTCGGCCGTCATAGGTGTGCAAGTTTGGAAGCTTAAAGTTCGGGGGTACCATCTCCCCATTGATGTCATCAGTGAAGGGCGGAGCCCTCATGTAGTCAGAAACTAGGCCCCCGGGGCGTCGAGGTGGGTCCTCGGACCGTTTCCCTAGCAGTCCCCGGGAAAACGCCCGGGAAATGGAGGCAATTTTGGAGATTGCCTTGGAGGAGGCGTGCCTGGAGGTACTCCGAGAGAGACGCCCCTCATCAGAGTCCTCACCTGAAGGTACTTCAGTGGACTTCGTCGATCTCCTCTTGGAAGACTCGATTTTTCTTTCCCTTGCCTCTTGAGGTACCTTCCTAGCTCCTCAAAAATGTTGGGGTTGTCAGTTACGAACTCGGCCATCTTGGCGATGGCGTCTTCGTTGTTGGGTTGGGTCCTTTGGGACCCTTGCTCTTCAGAAATGCGATCTTGCTGGACTCTCGAGGTCTGTCCAACCCCGGTCGAGGGAACTCTTCCGCTTCTGGAGGGCGTGGATCTCATTTTAGCAATAGTCTCGTTTCCACAGACGGCGCCAATTGAAGAGGTGATTTTTTACGAGTAATTAGTCCAACCGAAATCAGCTCTCTTGTTAATGTAGTGAGGTGAACTCGATTATCTCACCTAGGGTGGAATGAAGTGAGGTTGCACGGTCGAAGTGGAAGGCGGGGCTTTTCCCCTGGGATCACTCCGACGATCAAATTAGTATGAGAACAAGAATAACAAGAGTATGAGTGAGTGAACAGTATGCTTACTTGTTGGGAGTGTGTGTGGGGTATTTATAGAAGGAGAGTAGAGGACAGGGCAGAAGGCTCATGCTAGTGGGACCCACTCTCTGGCATTACGGCTCTGTCCCCTGTCAGGAGGTCTGACCCTGACACTGTAGCCTTCTGGGTATGATGACGGAGAGTATTGTGCAGGTGCCATTAAGTGCCTCCAGTGCTTTTCAGATAAAGTACTGGTCCCGGGTGATGTCAGGTGGCTTGACATCATCAGCGTGCAGCTGAGGTGGAGGTGCCGAGGTCACCTACACGGTAGACTAGGGATCCGGCCGAGTTCAGGGGTTATGCTCAAAACACGGATGAGCTCTGATGAGGGACGAGGTGGGTTCACCTCGGACATGCGGGATGGCCGAGGTGAGCATCCTCAATTCCTGTTGAAATTGACAGAGCTGGTCCTTTCAAGTTCTAAATTTCGTGTTATAAAGCCTCGAACGTCCGTGTTAGCAGCATGATCAGTTCCAAGACACTTATCAAGATGGCCAGGAAATGGCAGAAGTAAGCAACAATTCACAGGAGGAGAATTTCATTTCCAACTAGAGACAACGAAGGTGAAAATTTAGAGAGTTGTAGCACAATATCAAAGGTGGCCATTTTATTGTCTACACTGCTGATCAGATGCGCTTTTTGATCCCTTTAGCTTATCTAAACAGCGACATCTTCAGGAAACTATTGGAGATGTCGAAGGAGGAGTTCGGCCTGCCAAGTGATGGTCCCATCACATTACCCTATCATGCTGTCTTCGTTGAATACATTCTCTTCTTGATAGGCCGAGGCAGCATAGCTGGAGATCTTCAAAAAGCTTGGCTCCTGTCAATTACTACTACTGGTCATTGCTCATCATCATCCTTGTGCCAAGAAAGGAGAGATGACCAATTGCTAGTCTACTAAATTCACCACTGTCTATCGGCTTTGGAATCATCAGATTAGGCAGGCATATATAGCTCTGAATTTCATATTTATTCTTTGATCTTTTCGAGTGACAATTGTCCTGTTGGGAGCTACACTTGGCTCTTTCATCCTCAAAACATGTTGTAATTAGAAACCAATTCATCTGGTGGCAATTAAACCATAAATTCAGGCTGCCATTTGTATCCGCGGACCAGCTAGCCTAGATCTGTATTGGATGTGGAATAGACTATGGGCAAATTCCTGAATCATGTCCTTACTTCAGATCAAAGCCAATATTTTTGAAAATCGGACCGGCCTGTTGAACTGCGAACCGGCCATGCCTTTGGTACGGTTCAGTTAAAAACCCAAAGAATTAATTGAACCGATCAAAACAGATCAAGAACCGGTTAAAATCAGTAAAAATTGAGAGGTTCAACTGGTTTTTATTAAGTATTTATTTTTTAAAATAAATATTTTAGTTTTATTCAAAATTTTTCATACCAAAATGAATAAAAAATTATTAAACCTTTGAACCGGAGTTGAACCGATTGAACGGATCGAACCGTAAACCGAAAGGCTTTTCGGTTCACTCTCCGGTCCAATTTTAAAAACATTGATCAAAGCGCACCTTTTAAGAGTTTCATAAATCAAAATCTCGCGCTACAACGGTTTTATTGTTGCATTCTTCTTTTATGTCGTCATGCATGGTCTAAGAACGATTATATAAGGGCTGCACTCCCAAGTTTCAAGTAGTCTAATGTCCCCCTTTTGTAATATATGTGATTTGTACTCCACAATTGATGAGATTATTTCCGGACTAATGAACCGAGTCTACAGCACAAGCTGACCTGTCAAGATAGAGACACAATCGAAGATGTGTCCTCCGATCTAGCTCCGATGCTAAATTCAATTATGTAAGGGATCAGAGTAAAAGCAACACTAGTTGGGTTAGTTATGAGCAAGAGAGAAATTAAGTCAAAATCCTCTCTTTTCCCTCAAAGGAAGGGGAATATTTATAGTAAAGATACTGATAAGATAAATGATGGAACCTACTTCTCGTTACCTGTAAGAAGTCAACCTAGAACGGCGGTGTCAGAGGTAGGTCTGGGCATGACAGCGGCGACAGTCATATCAGCCTATCTAGCATGAGTCAGCTTTTGCCTGTAAATATCAGACGCCGAGTAACCAGATAGGTCCAACTGACCAAGGTAGACTCACCTCAGGAGGGCGAAGATGAGGATGAATAACAAGATAACCAAGGTGGTCATCCCGGTCGAAAATATGTTGGGTTGAGTCACCTAACCGAAGAATCCGAGGTGGGTGTGCACAACAATTGACATTGAACTGTCCTTACGAGAGAGCAAGCATAGACCATCAAAGGTAATTTTCCCCAACCTATTTTTCAGAGAGACGACGGAATTCCCTTGGAGTTTGCAGATTAAAATGGGAAACGATCTGGCTGCATTATATATACAAATATATAGTAGAAAGCATGACTATATCCTCCAGTCCTCCTAGGTACGTGCACAAACAGCATGATTGGCACCAAGAACTAAACTCAATCAAGATCGTGGTAAAAAAAGAAATGGGTACAAGTAATTGGCCGTCGCATTTCTAGGACAGCATTTTTCAAAGAGTACTTAATCTTTTTTTTTTTTTGTCAATACGATAGACCTACAATTATTCTATGCTACGAGGAGGGGGGACTGAAGAGATCCAGAAGAAATCGGAGAAGACTGAACCACCTATCGGTCCAGACGAGTGCGTCTGGAAGCCACTTTAAAGTGGCCTGCCTCATTTTTTGTGGTCAATAGTGGGAGGCAACATCTGATTCCTTGACCTCCCACCTCACCAACTTTGGTGGTGTGGCCACTGAGCTAATCTCAGTGATTCAAAAGAGTATTTATTCAACACCAGCGAAAACATCAAATGGTATGAAAGTGAAAAAGATTTGTAGAAGATGGGGTTCCCTCAACTGGAGGAAAAGTTTTAAGTCCAAGATCAGAAAAAGGCAAAGACCCAACACCAAAAAAAAAAAAAGAGAAAAAGGAGGACACCTGTTGTTTCCTTGTTCATTCTATGAAATTGTATTCAATTTATTTGATTATTCAACCTGTGCAGCTCCGGCAAGTGGATTTCATAATGGTTGACTTTTCCCACTTTGGCCTGAGGTGGATGGTCACTACATGGATAGAAAGTCGTCCAAAGCTGTGATAAAAGTTAATTTAACTTTCATAAAGCAGGATTCTTAGAGAAGCTAGTCCCCCACTTCGGACATTCAAAAGTTGGAAAAATTTGTGAAATCAAGGAGAGACAACTTTCTCCGTAGTAGTTTCTAGCTAGTGAAGCTGGAAATTTATTCCGTGCTTTCTGAAACTTGAAAAAAGAAAACCAATACCAATAAACTTCCTATTCTGTTTGAATTGCTATTTTTAAAAATATTTATAAAAAATGTATTATAACGATTTAATATATATAAAATAAAAAAAATAAATGATAAATATGTTTATGAAAAACGATCACAATCCAAACAAGAGCAATAATTGGCTGTTGAAATATACAGCAGAAGTGAGTAGATAGTAAACGACCTGCACTAGCTGCCACTTACCAGTTGCTTTTGACGAAAGCTCCGTTGCAGCTAGCATACACAAACCCGGAGTTCCAAAACCAAAAGCCAGATGGGTTTGACCTAAATGCGAACAACGGAACTAGGGCGTGAAGGGACCGTCATCCCCCAGTTTTAGAAATTCATGTTTTCTTTCTTTAAGATTTTGAGAATTCTCAACATTGTCTATACATATATATATATAGCTATTTGCTTGCTAAAAGTTTTCAAAAAAAAAAAAAATGCCGTCTTGACTGCGAAGTACGTATAGAAGAGTAGCTAAGACCTAGGAGCAGGACTAAAAGATTTCAAATGCTGTAAAAACCTATGTAGATTGTTTATACTGGAGAGGGAAAAAACATAGTGTAATCCAGACGTCAAACATTACATATCCGTATTACTGTCGTATTAAGTACATATGCAAGTACACTTATAATGGAGGAGCCCAGAGCTACGAGGGACCATTTCCAGGTCAACGGGTAGTGGCACCATGCACGGAAGTCCCGTTTGCGATTTGGTGCATTCTCACTTGTTTGCCCATTTCTGAAAGTCTTGTGCTTGTTGATGTGTACGTGTGTGAAGGAATAATTCGGACTGAATTTATTAATGGATAATTTCAAAACCACTCTCAAGATTTTTGATAACTACACTTAAATTCCCTCTAATATTAAAAAGGGATAATTCCAGATAAAAAATGGGGAGTTGGAGAGAGAAACAACTATCTACCATAAATGCCCTGATTATCTTGCATTAGTGATTTTATCAATATGACTAAATACTAATTTGCCTATAAACACCTTACACGGGGTGATCTATGAGGTACAATCAGTTTACAAACATGTACATTATGTTAGATGTTAGTTACTTGCCTGTTTCTATATTGGTTAAAGGTTTCTAATTTATCGTTTAATTGTGTTTATAACTAACTTCACCAAATTTGTCCTGATAATCACGAAATATTAGTTAACTTGTGAGGGTATTTAAGTCTTTTTGGCCATGATGATATAAGAAATGGGACCTGAAATTCAGACAGGGGAGGTTTGTGATATTTTTTAAACCACAGGAGAGGAGAGTGAGACTGTTAGAAAGCT